AAATATTGTGAAATTGAAATTAGAAAATAATTCGTTTTTAATTCCCTATCAATATTGAAAGAGCGAATAAAAGTACGGAATAATAAAAATATGATATTAAAATAGTAATAAAATTAAAAAAAAAAGAAAGGGTTTAATGTGATGTTTGAAGATGAATAATCAAATAAAGCAATATATTTCCCTAACAAATATATTATCAAATGTATCATTATCATCTCTTTTTTTTTTTAAAAAAAAAAAGATTGCAAGCATTTGTTTTTGAGCGAAAAGAAAGGAAAAGAACAAATTAGAATTAAAAATTATTCATTTAAATGGTATTTATTGAATTTAAAAAAAAAAAGAATTGGGAAAAAAAAGTGAGGTGAATTTTAGAATGAATGAAATAAATGATTTGATAGAGTTTACAATGTCGAAATTTATTTCATTTATTTATTTATTTTTTCTCTCAAGAAAATTTCTTTGCTTATTGACGAGAGAAGGAAAGGGAGAAAGAGATTAGAGGAAGAAAAAAAGAAAAGACTAAATATGGATTTATATCATTTACAAGAAATTTTTTCTGTGTTTACTTATCGGATAATTTAATTTTAATGAATAATTTTTTAATTGTGCAAATAATACACTTAAAATCATTACTCTTACCTGGAAATTGTAAAATAAATTGAAATTTGAATGTAATAAAATTAATAATTTATAGATGTCATGAGCCTGCAATTGTTCAACGTTCCGATTTAAGGTTATCTTGTGGTGATCATATTGGGCGACAATTATATCCATTTACTTCATCAACAGCTCATCCGGTACTATCACCTTCAGTAAATCCGAAATTCCCAAAATCCACGATACAACGTATGTTTCTATTAATGATATAGTTTTAATTTAATTCATTTATAATCTTAATCAAAAATGGTTTTCTTTTTTTTTTCTTGGCTTTAACAAATAAAATAAAGATGAGATTTGAAATTTGTCAACAAAAAAAGAAGAAAAATTTTAAATACCTTATAAAAAGATTTTTTTGTCTAACTCTTTATTTATTTTTGTATTACTGTCTTATCATAATTTGTATAAGACATTGTTTTTTTTTTCCTTTTTGTTTTTTGCAGAAAACCAATATTCTAGCAATGATGGAATGGATTCATTAAGTCTTTCAAATGATTCTCAAACAAGTACATCACTTTGTGATATATCATATATGGTACCACCAAAACCACCTCGTTATGGTATCAGTGATATACATGCATTGTCCGTTTTATCGGAACCATCAAATGCTAGAAGTATCACTTCAGGTGGTATAACATCACGTCCGATGCACGAATTATCGAAGGTAATTTAATTATATATACATATGAAAAAATATTGAAATATTTCAGTTATAGTTTCAATTTCAATTTCAAATACACTAATTCTTGTTGACATCTAAAAACAACAAAATTAACTGCTATTATTTGATAAAATTGCTAATTAAGAAATTAAATTTGTTTATACTGCAAGAGACAAAGCAAAAAAGCTATAGATTTTTTCGAAAATAAAAAACAAAAAAAAATTTTGAAAATAAAACAAATAAGAGAATTTTTAATGCAAGTATTGTTTTTAACATCATTTGAGATTTTAATTCGATGATTAATTAACAATCCAAAAATTTATTTATCTTTTTTTTCTTTCTTTATTGCAGTCAAAAAATATTAAATTATCACCACAATCCACAGCACTTGTACTTCATGAACTTAGTAGTAAAACATTTACGCCAGCTACAAATGGTACAACTCATCAAGTTCGATTACGCAAGGTTGATTTCTTTTAAAATAAAATGTTAATTTTATAAATTTTTAATTTAAAAATTCTGCAACACCATAAATGAATTATTAAATTTTTCAAAAAAAAGAATGTCATAAGTATTTCATGAATACTTATAATTATCATTTGATGATTTGAGAGTTATATGACATAGATAATTGGATCAATTTTACTGGTCATTATAATAGAAGACACTATGAAATAGTTGAAAAAAATGATGGATCAAAATTTTTCAAATAATATTGTTTGATTAATTTTAAAATATTAACGATATTGTTTGAAATTATCAAATTCTATATATTAGTAATATTTCAGGATCCATCAACGAATAGTTTTGGATTTAGCGTATCTGATGGTGTTGGTGATAATGCTGGAGTTTTTATCAATGAAATTTTACCAGGTGGTCCAGCAGATCGATGTGGACAAATTTTGCCGTATGATAAAATTTTACAGGTTTGTATTTATCTTTTTTTTTTGTTTTTCATCTAAAGTTTCTTTTCTACATCAATCATTTCCGTCATCATTTTTGATTTGGTTTAATTTTGAAGTGAAAATTTTAACATACTCTATGACTTACATTTCAATATTTTTCCCTTTAATAAATTCATTAAAAAATAGAAGGAAAAGAAAAACCACTTCTAATAATTGTTCAGTGTTATCAATTATGTTATAATACAATGATAAGCATTTATCAGTTAAAATTTGCTCATTTTTCTTATTTTAGATAAATGACACATCACTGCAGTATTTGGATTGCGATCTCGCTCTTCCTTTACTTCAGGTAGACGAGATTGAAATGGTGCTTTACCGAGAAGCTGATCAATCCACAAATGTTGTAGAAGATGATGATGATGATGAAAGCTACCGTAATAGCGTCAATTTAAGTTTGCGTTATTCAGCCGTATAAGTGCTTCTTTTTATAAAATAAATTTCTCTTTCCTTTTTCTTTTCATTTTGCATTTTGTTATTTTTTTCTGCCTGAAACGGGAATTTGCTAATTGCGTGCGTTGTACTTTTAATTTTCTTTTTATTCTTCTTCTTGAATTATTTGTAAAATTTGAAATTGAATCCAAATTTTAGTATGCAAATTTTGTTGTACGATCTCTAAACATTTGTATAATTCCATCATACTTTTTTTTTTATAACTGCAAGATAATTAGCTGCTGTTACAGTACTTTTAAATAATATTACTTAAAACCATCGTATCCTATAGCTATCATTATCTTTATTTTTTATGGTGATAATAATGACAATGATTTTTTTTTGTGTGATAAAAATTTTGTTTGCTATACCTATTGTAAATTATGCATTTCTTATTCCGAATACTATTTTATTCTATCATTATTTTTTTCTTCTGTTTTTTTCGTTTGTTTTACTTAAAGATATGAAGATATGATTAATGAATAGAATATTGGAGAGGATAATTGCCTAGAATATTAATTTGTAATTATTTTTAAAATTTAATGTGAACTGTAAGAAAGGAATTAAAATGAAATAAAATATTTGTGAGTGATGGTGATGCAAACATATGTAATTTTTTATACAGCTTCATTATCAAATTTTATTAATATAACTGATGAAATGAAAAATATTTTGTATTATTAGAATGATGATGGGAAAAAAATTAATAAAATTATTTCTTTAAAAAAAAAAAACAAAAAAAGAGGAGAGAAAAAGCAGTTGATTAAAAATTTTTCCAATCAAACTAAGCATCTTTTGCTTTTTCTTTTTCCTTTTTTTTTTGCTTTTTTGCTTTTTGTTTTTTTGCCATTTGATATATGAAACTTTGAAATGCATTAACGATGAGATTGATTTAACTCATTGAAGTATGATTGTTGTTGAAGATATTGTTACAGAATGTTTGATAATGCTTCCGAACGTCCATCATTCAACACGTAACGTTTACCGAAACGAATCAAAGGACTCGTTTGTAAAGCCTAAAAGTAGTATGTATTAATATTTTCTTTTTTCTTTCAATATAATATAATTTTTATACTTAAATTACACTTATTTTTCTACTAAAAAATTATTTTATTCTTTACAAAATTTTTACGCTAAATGATGCAATATGTTTAATAATTATATATCTTTTTGTAAAATATTGTAATGAAATTTTCTAAAATAATGAACAGAAATGATTAACTAACAGTAATTTTTACAAATTTAAAAATGATCATTGATAAATGAATTTTCTCTCCTTTCTTGAAACTATCAAAAAGCTTAAAACTTACATAATTACGAGCAGTTCTACCAAAGATATGATCAGATTTTCCGAATCGATGACTGATTCTCATTAAATCATCCATGATGTTCTGATTTTTTCTTTCAAATGGTGCCATATCATCTATATTTCATCTTATTTTATTATTTTGCTCTCGTTAAAATTAAATATATTCATCTTATACTGGCAATTAGTTGTTAATATCACTAGTAATTCATTAATTTGCTAAATGAAAATCTTAAAGGTAAGGGAAGGTAAGGCAAGACGAAGAAGAAAATACTCAAATAGAAACTGATGATGATGATATGGTAAATGATATTTAAAATCATAAAAGTAATTTATGAAATCATGATTGAATTTTATGATAATCATAATTAATTAAATGGAGTAAAAATTCAAAACGTCTATTTGTCTACGTGCAAAGTTGTTAATAGTAAAAAAAAATTTGAATGGCGAAAAATTGAAAGATTTTGACAAGGATGAAATGATTTTAAAATTAAGCTATCAGTGACTTATTTGTTTGTAAAGTTATTGATTGCGAAAAAAAGAGCCATGAAGAAATTGAACTTTAAAGTATGAAAAATCTAAAAAGCAATAATAGAACCGAATTTTGATATAATTTTAAAATCAGTGAAAAAGAGATTTGCAGATTATTTTTAATTTTATAGCATTTTTTTTTTGATAAAAATAAGAGAAATTTTGAAATATTTAGCATTAAAATAGTTCAAAACTTTCGCAGTTATTTCAGTAAAGCTGATATGTAAATTTTGGAGTTACGTGAATTTATTAATGCAATTTAATTTATTTAACAAATTAACTAGTCGATTTCTTCTTTGTTCTGATATACTTTATAGTTTATTTAAAATTACGATACAGTACAAATAAATATGAGGTAAATTGCACCTGCAAGAATAAGGATAACATTGAAATTTCCAATTAATTATTTCTTTAAATATAATTTTCATATCAAATTACGAAAATTGCTCATTATTATTCATGTAATCGTTGATTATCCATCTTTATCAACCAAAAATATTTGGCAAAAAAAAATAATTTGTAAATTTAAATAAATTTTATTCACTTTATTCATGCAACATTTAATGTTTGTAAATCTGTTATCATGGTTATTATTATCATTATCAGTATCATCATCAAAAGTAGGTATCATAATCATAGCATTTTTAGTACATAATACTTAAATCCATTCCGCCTAACAATACAATCACTATCAGTGGAAGAAATTCTAATTTAACGGGGAATTTTCAAATTTATTTTTGCTCAGTTCTTTATTATCATTTTCACTTCGTAATCTACAGCAAAATAAATTCTTCTTGATTAAGAAATTTTAATTTTTGTAAGTTCAAAAAAATGATATTTTATAAACTTGAAAAATATAACGAAACAAATACACTTATAAATCACATTAAAATTAATTTTAAAAAAAAACATTTGAACGGATATTTTTTTGCATTTGACGAACATAAATTAAATACATGAAGCATTCGAGAAAAGAGTTTTTTTTTTTTTAATGACACAAATTGTAAAACTATTTCATTTCAATCATTCATTCCTTTGCTTATTACTATTTTGATTATTACCGCACCTATTCAATTTTTTTCCTTTTTTTCATATTAGAAAAAATTTTTTCAATTTATTGAAATAATCAGCAAAATAAAGGAGTTAATTTTGCAAAATAGAAAATCAAAAAAAAAAAGGACAAAAATTTGGAATGAAGGAGAAGAGGAGGAGGAAAAAAAAAGAAATTTCTAAATAAATTTGAAATGAATTCAAAAAATAAATAAATAAATAATTTACATTTCAATTTAAGCATACCTATTCCTGATGATTCCAACGAATGTGTTAACGTAATGCATGCCAATGCTGCAAGCAAATAACTCATTGATTGAAAATAAATCGTAAGCATTTTTAACCTATAAAAATGATTTTAAAGAAAAATGTTGAA